TTTAATATCCAAAATATTAAGAACTCATATAACTTAATAGCAAAAAGCAAACAATCTGATTGAAAAATGGTCAGAGGATCTGAATAAACAATTTTCCACAGAAAATATACAGATGGCCAACAGGTACATGAAAAGGTGCTGAACATCACTAACCATCACAGAAATGCAAATCCAAACCACATAGAGCTATCACCTCACACCTGTTAGAATGGCAAGAAATAAATGTTGGCGAGGGTGCGGAGAAAAGAAACCCCCGTACACAGCAGGTGAGAATGTAAACTGATGTAGCCACTATATAAAACAGTATGGAAATTTGTCAAAAAAATTAAAACTACAATCTGATCCAGCAACTAAACTTCTGGGTATTTGTCCAAAGGAAACAAAATCACTATTGTGAAAAGAAAGCTGCACTTCCCTGTAGTTGCAGCATTATATACAATAGCCAAGACATGGAAACAATTTATAAATCCATGTATCCATCAATGGATGAATGGAAAAAGAAAATGTGATACACACAGTGGAATATTATTCAGCCACAAAAAGAAGTAAATCTTGCCACTTGCAATAATATGGAAGGGCCTTGAGGGCATTTTGCTAAGTGAAATAAGTCAGTGAAAGACAAATACTGTTTGATTCCACTTATATGTGGAGGAAGGAACGAAGGGAGAAAGAAACAGAGAAAGAGAGAGAGAGAGAGAAAGGGAGGGAGGGAGGAAGACAGAGAAAGAAGAAAGAAAGAAAGAAAGAAAGAAAGAAAGAAAGAAAGAAAGAAAGAAAGAAAGAAAGAGAAAGAAAGAAGAGAAAGAAAGGCATGAACTCACAGAGAACAGCAAGAAGCAGTAGGTGGGTAAAATGGGTGATGGTGGTCAAAAGGTACAAAATTCTGAATGAAAACAGAAATCAACCACAGAAAGAAAAATGTGAAAAGAACAAACATGGGGAGACTAAACAACATGCTACTTAAAAATCAATGAGTCAACGATGAAATCAAAAAAGGAATCAGAAAATACTTCTAGGCAAATGAAAATGATAACACAATCTTACAAAATCTATGGGATACAGCAAAACAGTGTTAAGAGAAAAGTACATAGGGATACAGGCCTTCCTCAAGAAACAAGTAAAATCTCAAATAAACAACCTAACCTACCACCTAAAAGAATTAGAAAAAGAAGAACAAACAAAACCCAAAGTCAGCAGAAGACAAGAAATTATAAGATCAGAGATTGAATAAATAAAATAGATTTAAAAAACCCAGAAAAGATCAATAAAACCAAGAGCTGTTTATTTTGAAAAGATAAAAATTGAAAAACCTCTAGCCAAGCACACCAAGAAGAAAAGAGAGAGGACCCAAATAAAGAAAATAAGAAATGAAAGAGATGTAACAACAACCAATACCACAGAAATACAAAAAATCAGAGAATACTATGAAGAGCTGTATGCCAAAACACTGGACAACCTAGAAGAAATGTACACCTCTAAAAACATACAGTCTGCCAAAACTAAGTCAAGAAGAAACAGATAATTTGAACACACCAATCACTAGATGTGAAAGAGAATGTGTCATTTTAAAATTCTGTCAAACAAAAATCCAGGACCAAACTGCTTCACTGGGGATTCTAACAAACAAACAAAGAAGAACTCATAACAATCCTTCTCAAACTATTCTGAAAAAATGAAAGAGGAGGGAACCCTTCCAAATTTATTCTATGAGGCCACCATCACCTGGATACCAAAACCAGACAAAGACATTACAAAAAAAATTATAAGCCAATATCTTTGATAAATTTAGATGCAAAAATCTTCAACAAAATATTAGCAAACTGAATCCAACATGACAAAAAGGACCATGCACCATGATCAACTCGGATTCATTCCAGGGCCAGAAGGATGGTTCAACATATACAAATCAATCAATGTGATATACCACATTAAAAAAAAGGAAAGGCAAAAACCACATGATCATCTCAATAGATGCAGAAAAAGTATTTGACAACATTCATTTATGATAAAAACGTTCACCAAAGTAGGTATAGAGGGAGGGGGAACATATTTCAACATATTAAAGGTCATTTACAGCAAAACAACAGCCAACACAAAATGAACAGTTAAAAGCTGAAAGACTTCCCGCTAAATTCAGGAACAAGACAAGGATTCCCACTCTTACCATTTCTATTCAACATAGCATTGACAGTCTTAGCCACAGCAATCAGATAGGAAAAGAAATAAAAGGTATCCAAATTGGAAGGAAAGAGATAAAACTGTCATTAATTGCAGATGACATGATACTCAATATAGAGAACCCTAAAATTGCCACATAAAAACTATTAGAACTAATAAATGAATTCAGCAAGATAGCAGGATAAAAGACCAATATACACAAATTGGTTTCTTTACACTAATAATGATGTATCAACAAGAAGAAGTAAAAAAAAAATCCCATTTGAAATGGTGTAAAAAAAAAAAAAAACCTAGGAAGAAACTTAACCAAGGAGATGAAGATCTATACATTGAAAACTATAGAACACTGATAAAGGAAACTGAAGATCATTCAATGATGAAATGGAATGCCCATGGATTGGAAGAATTAATATAATTAAAATGGCCATACTACCTATTAAATCTACAGATTTAATGCAATTCCTATCCAAATACCTATGACATTAGTCACAGAGCTAGAACAAATATTCCTAAAATTTATATGGAACAACAAAAGACCCCAAATTGCAAAAGCAATCTTGAGACAGAAGAACAGAGCTGGAAATATCATGCTCCTTGACATTAGACTACATTACAGAGCTACAGTAATTAAAACAGCATGGTACTGGAACAAAAACAAATATATAGCTCAGTGGTACAAAATAGAGAGTCCATAAATAAACCCATGCACCTACAGTCAATCTTTGACAGAGGAGGCAAGTATATAAGATGGAGAAAAGACAGTTTCTTCAACAAGTAGTGATGGGAAAGCTGGATACCTGTGTGTAAATCAGTGAAATTAGAACACTCCCTCACACCATATACAAGAATAAACTCAAAATGATTTAAACACCTAAATATAAGACAAGACATCATAAAAATCCTAGAAGAGAACATAGGCAAAACATTCGAGGACATAAATTGAAGCAATATTTTCTTAGGTCAATATTCAAAAACAAAAGAAATAAAAGCAAAAATAAAAAATGGGACCTAATTAAACTTAAAAGCTTTTGCACATCAAAGGAAACCATCAACAAAACAAAAAGACAACCTATCGAATGGGAGAAAAATATCTGCAAATGATGCTACCAACAAGGAGTTAATATCTAAAATATATAAGCAGGTCATGGAACTCAATATTAACAAAAAAAACAATCCAATTAAAAAATGGGCAGAAGACCTAAGTAGACATTTCTCCAAAGAAGATGCACAACATAACTAATTATTAGAGAAATGCAAATCAAAATCACAATGAAGTATCACCTCACACCTGTCAGAATGACTATCATCATGAAGTCCACAAATAATACATGTTGGAGAGGGTATGGAAAAAGGGAACCCTCCTACATTGTTGGTGGGTATGTAAATTGGTGCAGCCACTATGGAAAACAGTATGGAGATGCTTTAAAAAACTAAAAACAGCTACCATATGATCCAGCAATCCCACTCCTGGGCATATATCCAGAAAAAACAAAAACTCTAATTCAAAAAGATACACGAACCTCAATGTTCACAGCAGCACTATTTACAATAGGCAAGACATGGAAATGACCCAAGTGCCCATCAGGAGACGGCTGGCTTAAGAAGATGTGGCATACACACACACAAACACACACACACACACACATATGTATGTATGTATATGTGTATATATATATATATATATATATATATACGCACACATACACACACAATGGAATATTACTCAGCCATAAAACAGAATGACATAATGCCATTTACAGCAACATGAATAGACCTAGAGATTATTATACTTAGTTAAGTAAGTCAAAGACAAATACTATATGATATCACTTTTATGTGGAATCTAAAAAAAAAAAAATGAATCTATATACAAAACAGAAACAGACTCACAGACATAGAAGACAAACTTATGGTTACCACAGGGGAGGGACTAATTAGGAGTATGGGATTAACAGATTCAAACTACTATACATAAAATAGATAAGCAACAAGGTTTTACTGTATATCTCGGAATTATATTCAGTATCTTGTAATAACCTATAATGGAATATAATCAGAAAAAATAACTGAATCATTATGCTGTACACTTGAAACTAACACACTATTGTAAATCAACCATAATTTATAATATTTTAATTCTTCAATTTAATAAATAAATATATATATTTTAAAATACAAATTATAGTTATAAAATAAAGAATTCGTGGGGATTTAGTGTACAGAATGATAAATACAGTTAATAATACCATAATGTATGTTTGAAACTTGCTAGAAGAATAAATCTTAAAAGGTCTGACCACAAAAAATAAAGCTTGTAACTACGTGTGGTGATGGATTTTAAGTAGAAGTATCGTAGTGATCATTTTAGTTTTATTATTGTAGTGTTTTAAAGTTATTAATAATGCTTTTCTATTCAATGATTACATAAAATCTATGCTAATAATCTATTCTATTCACCATTTTATTTAATAATAAAAACTCAGAATATTGGGGGGAAATATCAAAAAGTATCACTACTGAAATTAGTGATATAGGTCACAAATATATAGTGAAAACATTATCCCAAACACACAAACACAGAATAAATATTTCGCTCTCAAAGGAATACAATAGATTCTAATAGTCAGAGGATATTACAAACTTTGAAACTTTTAATACTGTAAATAAATATCAATATACAGGTATTATTGTAGCTGTAGCCTACAATCAACATTTTGGTTATTTAATGGAATTTCTACAGTTTAGTCATGTGCATGCGTGAACACGCACACTTGTGGACACCATAAACAAAAATTTAATAATCAACTCTAGTAACCAGTTACCTTGGCAATAATAACTTCCTTCTTCAGAATCTTCATAGCATAGTATTTTCCACTTGCTTTCTCTCGAACCAAAATAACTTTCCCAAAAGTGCCTTTACCTAGTAGTTTCAAATAGTCAAAATCATTCATTGTCTGAAAAATACAAATGAAAATACATAATATGAAACATTTGATGCAATTTATTTGTAAACTTATATGTATATATTTGCATTATCTACTCAAAATCAAATTTTACCAACTTCTAAGCACACTTAAATGATGAAGAATCAGAATGGCACTGGCTTTCTCATAACCAATCATGGATGCTGGAAATAATTTAAGCAATTTGCAGATAGTGGAGACAGTAATTTTAAACGTAGAATCTCACAACTACTCAAATTACTAGTAAGGGCAAAGGGAAAATAAAATCATTTTCACTCACTTCCAAGAACTCAAGTTTCTAAGGATTTAGTAGTGCCACTACTCCCAGACAATGTGACAATCAAAAATGTCCTCCACAAACATTTCCAAATATATCTAAGAGAAAAGGATTGAAGGGAGTGTTTGAGAATGTACTCTATCAAAATAAGGATGGACTCCAAGAAAGAGAAAGATACATGTATAAGAAATGTTGAAAACAATTCTGGAGCCCAGTGCAAAGAAACAGAAGAACAACAGCAATATATCTTCTGAGAAAGCAACTGGTCCAATGCAGAAGAAGGAGTCATGGAACTCTAAGAATGTCTTTAATCTGCCTGTTTTCAGTTTCATTTCTCATTCCCATTTCTAAGTAGTAGGTGATTACCAGGATTTTGCCAAGCAGAATTACTATTGCTCCCCATAGCCCCCTCTATGAATGCTTTTCCTACTCTATTTATCCACAAACTTCCAAAATTTTGATAATGTTTCTCCACTAGTGTCCTTCCCTCATACAGCTTTTCATTTTTGTGGACTTGTCCCTTTTAAAAATTCCTCTGCTATTATTTTAATAGGCTTTTAGATGAAAGAGGAGGTATGCTCAGTTTATCATCTTAAATTTAAATTCAGTTTAGAGGGATTTAAAAATAACAATTTAAGGATCTGGGGTTTTATCCTACCAACAATCAGAAGTTATTGAAGATTTTTGTGCCTTTTTAGAATTATTTCTTTACCACCCATTTGAAGTAAATGTCAGAAATGTCTCAAACCGATGACGTCAGGTTCTACCTTAAGAAACTAGAAAAACAGCAAATTAAACCCAAAAGAATTAGAAGAAAAAAATAATAAAGATCAGGGCAGAAATCAATTAGGGACTTCCCCGGTGGTCCAGTGGTTAAGAATGCATGCTTCCATTGCAGGGGGTACGGGTTTGACCCCTGGTCAAGGAAGTGGATTCCTACATGCTGTGTGCATGGCACAATGCGGCCAAAAAAAAAAAAAGAAAGAAAAGAAAAAAGAAATCAATTAAATTTTAAGAAGAAATAAAAGGAGACAAGGTCACGATGGCGGAGGAGTAGGAGGACGTGGAGTTCATCTCTCCCTACAAATGCATCAAGAATACATCTACAAATGGAACAAGTCTCACAGAGCTCAGGCTGAAAGTTAGCAGAGGACCTCGGTCACCTAAAAGGACAAGAAATCCCCATGTAACTGGGGAGGATGAAAGAAAGAAGAAGCAAAAAAGAAGAGAAGAGGTTGCCACATCTTGGGAAGCCCCTCACCAGCAGGGAGATCAGTTGGCACAGAAGGGGAGTTTCGGGGACCATTGGAAGAGAGTGCAGCACCCGGTCTGTGGCAGGCAGGGCAGAGTGAGACCTACACAGATGGTCTGTGCCACAGCCCTGTGTGCCCCAGCCTGAGACGTGTGTCCCAGTGTGTAAAGGGGCTGGGTGCTGGAATATGGGGTTTGGGGAGCAAATCCAGGGAGAGGATTGCTGTTGGCTGTGTGGAGACAGCATGAGACGGGAGTGAGGAAATCCACAACTGGGAATGCTTGTGGAGGAAACTCAGACTGCCATAGCAGGAAAGGGCCACTGTTAAGTGACACAGAAGGGGAGGAGCTGCCATTGCAGTCTTTCTCCCCATGCACTGGCCCTTGCCTCCCTGTGCACTAAGAAGGGCCCCCAAGGGGGCCAGCTCTCTCACGGCCTCTGGCTTCCCTACGTGCCTCATCAATGCCAGGGAAGGCTCTCTTGCACCCATGGTCGAGCACTACAAAGGGCCACCACCGGGGCCAACTATTTCATGCCCACGGCCACTGGTTTCCCCATGCACCCATTGCCACCAGGGGTCCCGTGACTCTGGCTGCTACACAGCCTCCGAGCCCCCTCCTCGCCAGGGCAAACTCATATGCTCCAGGGCAGCCTCACAAGCAGACCCACATGCAGACGTGGGGTTGTAACCACAGCTAAGCCCCAGGGGACATCAACTAAGGAAGAAAAGCTGAAATCTCTCCTCATAGCTGTGCAAACTGTGAAATGACATCTCCAAGACTAGCCTTGTAAACTCAGAGCCTACAGAACATCTGAACAAACAAGCAGTGCTCCCACAGAAAACACACGCTTAGCTTTAGCAGCTGTAGATTCTGTGGGCACATACACATGTAGGTTGGGCCAGGCTAAGGATGGAGCATGCGCCATAGCACCAACAGTGGGTCCAGATACATGATTACTGCAATCCTGGGACCTGACTTCAGTGGATCTCTGTAAATTTAAGAAAACTGAAATCATATCAAGCATTTTTGCGACCACAACACTATGGGATTAGATATCAATTACAGGAAAAAAACTGTAAAAACCACAAACACATGGAGGCCAAACAATACGTTACTAAATAACCAATGGACCACTGAAGAAATCAAAGAGGAAATAAAAACATATCTAGAGACAAACGATAATGAAAGAATGATGATCCAAAACCTATGGGGTGCAGCAAAAGCAGTTCTAAGTGGGAATTTTATAGCGATACAATCTTAACTCAGGAAACAAGAGAAATCTCAAGTAAACAATCTACCTTTACACCTAACACAACTCAACAAAAAAGAACAAACAAAACCTAAAGTTAGTAGAAGGAAAGAAATCATGAAGATCAGAGCAGAAATAAATGAAATAGAGACAAAGAAAACAAAAGCAAAGATCAATGAAACTAAAAGCTGGTTCTTTGAGAAGACTAACAAAATTGATAAACCTTTAGCCAGACTCATAAGGAAAAGAGGGAGAGGACTCAAATCAATAAAATTAGAAATGAAAAAGGAGAAGTTACAAATGACACCACAGAAATACAAAGGATCATAAGAGACTACTACAAGCAACTCTATGCCAATAAAATGGATAACCTAGAAGCAACAGACAATTCCTTAGAAAGGTACAATCTCCTAAGACTGAAACAGAAAGAAATAGAAAACATGAACAGACTAATCACAAGTACTGAAATTGAAACTGTGATTAAAAAACTTCCAACAAACAAAGGTCCAGGACCAGAAGGCTTCACAGGTGAATTCTATCAAATATTTAGAGAAGAGTTAACACTTATCCTTCTGAAACTATTCCAAACAATTGAAGAGAAAAGAACACTCCCAAACCTGCTCAACAACACCACCATCACCCTGATACCAAAAGCAGACAAAGATAACACAAAAAAAGAAAATTACAGGCCAATATCACTGATGAACATAGTCACAAAAATCTTCAACAAAATATTAGCAAATCAAATTCAACAACACATTCAGAGGATCATAAAGATAGCAGACTACAAGGACATGGAGTTCGCATATCCTCACAACTAGGGCACCTACCATGTGGGGGACCACGGAAACCTAAGGGGACAGGAGGAACACCACAGCAACAGAGTAAGACGTGGGGGGGAGGGAGGAGGGAGGAGAAGTGGAGGCAGGATGGAACTGGAGCCTTGGAGGGGCGGCTGGGGGAGGGAAGGGGTTCCCACTCTGGGGAAGCCCACCCACAGTGAGGGGATCAACAAGGATGGCGAAAGACTGTTGGGAGAACAAAGGATTGGAAGGGAATGCAGCCAGTGTTTCCCCTGCCCACTTGGGCCCCAGAAAGCCTGCTGAGGTCCTAATCATCTGATCTCTGTGGTTCCCTCCAGCCATGCTGAGTATAAGCCCCGCCCCCACCCAGAACCTTACCTCTGCACTTCACACTCCAAGACCCCCTCCGACCAAGTTAGGCCTAAACCTTGCCCCCGCACCTCCACCAAGTGCCTTATCTCTGAACTCTGCACTCCGAGGCCCTCTCCAGCAGTGCTGAATATTCAGGTTGCATGGGTCCTGAGACTAGGTCCCGCCCCCTGCCTAAACCTCACTCTCAACTAAGCCCCGCCCCACCCCCACAGCCAAGGCCTTTTCCAGCATTTTTTTCTTTTTAAGGTTGTGGTTCCATTTTATTTTGTTGTTTCATTTTAATTTTTATTTTTTCAAATAAATTTTGAAATTTTTCTAATTTTATTTTATTCTTTATACATTGTTATTGTTCTGCTCATTTTGGATTTCTGCTGCCCACTTTTTTTTTCTGTTGTGGTTCTGTTTTACCTTGTTTTAGTTGTTTCACTTATATTTTTCTTTTTCCTAATATATTTTTTTCTAATTTTATTTTATTTTTTATTGTTTGTTTTTGTACTGCTCCTTTTTTTGAATTTTATTTATTTTTTTCTACAGCAGGTTCTTATTAGTTATCTATTTTATACATATTAGTGTATATATGCCAATCCCAATCTTCCAATTCATCCCACCACCACCAACCCCCACCAGCTGCTTTCCCCCCGGTGTCCATAACGTTTGTTCTCTACATCAGTCACTCTATTTGGTCCTTTTTTTTTCTTCTTCTCTTTTGCCACACCATGTGGTTTGAGGGATTTTAGTTCACAGGCCGGGGATCGGGCCTGAGCTCCTGTGGAGTGTGCGCCAAGCCCAAACCACCGGACTAACAGAGAACCTCAGACCACAGGAAATATTAATCAGAGTGAGGTCTCCCAGAAATCCTCATCTCAACACCAAGACCCGGCTCTAAACAAATGCCTGTAAACTCCAGTGCTGGGTGCCTTGGGCCAAAAAGCCAGTAAGACAAGAACACAGCACCACCCAACAAAAAAAATAAGATGACAAAAAAATATGTTACAGAGGAAGGAAAAGGTAAAAACCTACAAGACCAAATAAATGA